GTTTCTATAATAATCACAAATTAGCAGAACATGATATATCATACACGCACAGCGGTAACATGAGGAAATACATCAAACTGTGTTAACACTTGCATAATGCATTGAGTGAGTTCACTAATAGAACACAATCCCTTGGCAGTTTCTCGAGACAGTATCTCATAAAAGCAAACCATAGTGGATCTAGAACTCGTGCTTGCTGCTCGGAACATTGGCTGGAACAGATAGACTTAACATCTCCTACGGTAAACCGCCATTTTTATGTCTGATAGAGCATAATGAGGGTTTCAATGTTCATTGTTATTCTCACCTACTCACCGTTTAGGTTCATTTCATCTGTTTGTTTCCAGGTACAACTATTATATTGATTGACGCTAGTTGGACACTGAAGCAGTTAGAAATATCGCTTGGGAAGAACAAATACTGTTGCAAAACAAAAGCAGAACCTTCCACCTTTCGTATTATTTACACATGCCAGAAGGACACTTTCAGTTTTGGTCTGAATGTAGTAAGAGAGCAGTTTTATGTCAGCATTTCTGTATTCGTAACTCTAATATTGCGTCATGTCGAAAGTGTCTTCTGAAAAGAGGGTTTCTGAAAGATAGTTTGAAAACATATAATATTCATGCCAAATATTTGGAATAAGGCGATGGTTCAAGAAAATGCTTAAAAGGTATACTACATGCTATTTAAGTAGAAAAATATTGTCTGTGGCGAAAACATACACAGTTGCAAGATGTGTTTGATTGTACTTTTCAGTTCAGAAAGTAATTGTGTAAGCTGTGAATATTCAGTCTCTATACAAACCTCCACCCATATCGATAACCTCAAGCTAATATGTTGAGCCCTCTCTAAACGTGACAAAAAGTTGCTGATCATTATAGGTAATCTCAAGACATTAATCTGTTTGAATCAGTATTAATTTTGTTTGCATGCACAAACAGTGCTATGTTATCGTAACAGAACATGATAACCACCCTTTGTTTCAATGTGAATTACATGGCACATCTATCTCCATATGATCCATCAAAATACTGAGTCAAAAAGGAACTTCACATTCTTTCTTCAGGGCACTATAAAAGAACAAGAGATGGTAAGATGGTTAACTTGTTATTATTTCATTGCTGAGATCTGTGTGATGTACTCGATACACTGACAGTGCCATAATCAGTTCCATTAGGATACAACGCCGTTCCAAAACATGGGTATGGGTATACAGAATGTCAAGTCACAAGAATAAAAATGCGAAATTTCTCAGTTCAATATCGTGTATGGCTGCCCCGCGCATTCACCACTGCCAAACACCGTCTCCTCATCGACTGCCTGATGCTTGTGAACACGTGGTTGGTGATTCTGCGCCATTGCTCTTGCAAGGCAGCGCCAAGTTCCTGCAAATTCTGAGGTTGGTTCCTAAGACCACGAAGCCTTCTCCCAAGTGCATCCCAAACATGCTCTATTGGATTAAGGTCAGGGGACCTTGATGGCCAGTTCATGACGTTGATTCCAGCGTTTTGAAGGAAATTTCGTGTCAACATCGCGGTATGCGGCCGAGCATTATCATGCTGGAACTGTAGACCTGGGTCATGAGCCGCCATGAAAGGAACGAGTTTAGGGGTGAGCACCTGGTCGCGGTAAGAAGCAGCTGTTGGGGTTTAACAGATGACCAGAAGTCGGGAACGGTTGTTCCCACAGAAAGCACCCCACACCATGCAACTTCCGCCCCTGAATCTGTCCACTTCCTGTACACAACATTGGGCATACCGTTCACGACGTCGTCTCCAGACTCTATGCCTGCCGTCCGCGAATCTGAGGATAAACCTGGATTCATTGCTTAAGACGACTCGATTCCAGTCTCCCTGGTTCCATCGGAGGTGACGTTGGGCCCACAGCAGACGTTGACATTGATGAAATGGCGTCAATATTGGCCCACGATATGGACGTCGAGAATGGAGATTGGCAGCCCGCAACCGATTTCAAATGGTCTGTGAGGACAGTCGACCTCTAAACATCTCAGCCCTGGTTCGTGTAGCCGGCAGAAATCTGTCACGTAGGTGACGTAGGACGATTTGACGGTCTTCTGCTCGTGACGTCACACGTGGACGACCCGACCTTGGGCGATCAGAAGTGGTGCCAGTTTGTTGTAGACGAGTGGGTTTGAGTGGGTTTTGCTAATGTTTTTCTAGAGTCGAAAGATAGGGATTCCAGTCTCCCTGGTTGTAGACGACCTCGCAAGTCATACACAGTACCACGGCTGCATCCCATTGCTCTTGCGACGTCAATAACTGATCTTCCCGCTTGCAACATGCCAACGTCATGTTCACGTTGCACATTGGACAATCTTGGCATTTCAAGTACCGTTAGTACTGTCGTTTAAAAGTGTTTTTTCAATTCTTGAGGCCAATGCAAACACGTGCATATGAAGAAAACTTCGATGCGAAGATCACGTGATCCACTGCACGTGCAAAACCTGATTTGGCACTAACGTCATTTGCACGATGAATGGATGGGTTTGAGTGGGTTTTGCTAACGTTTTTCTAAAGTCGAAAAATAGGGATCCCATTTCGGATCTATAGATGTATCATCAGAGACAAATTATTCATTATTGTTCAAATTACATTTTGTGAAGTTTCTTTTTTGACTCAGTGTTCCTATTTGCCAACACACCACTTTGGCCCTTTCTTCACCTAGATTGGTGGTAGAATTGACCCGATTCTATCAAACGGCTGGTCACGCCAAGTCCTGTGCATGGTGAGTATTGTTGTACATTTTTATTATTGGGTTTTGGTCGTTTCAATTTTCAATGCGTAAATTACTAATATATTAAATTGCCTAGAGCCCTATGCTACAGGGCGGTGGCTCATGGGCCATGTGATGATAATGACCTCCAAATGATATACGTTTCCAATTTCTTGTCACGGGCCGAACCAGTCTGACATTGGGTTGGTAGAAAATGCAGCCATTTGTGTCGTCTTCTTTGGGGTATAGCACCCCCTGTATCCCTGGTGTCAGCATCTTGGATATCCGGTGCATATTGATACCGTCCTTGTTGACACTCCATGGTGGGTGGGGAGCAGGGATGCAGAACCATATTCTTTCCACCATAACAACACAACTATTTGGTTCATCAAGAAATGGAAAAAGAGAAGAATGGACAATGTTGATGAATCTTTGAGAACTGTTTCCTCAAATGCTGATTCCTGGGCTCGTTTCTTGGTGATAGAGGCTACGGATTTCTTACCGATAAAACTAAACCCTTTCGCTATTTCCAAGGCTGTTTCTGGAATTTGTGGGGATGTTAAAAACGTCACCCGTCTATGTGGTGGTTTATTTCTGGTGGAATGTGCATGGAGACAGCAGTCTCTCAATCATGCTATCAATTAAAACATTTGCCAACGTTGAGGTTGCCGTGTCTGTGCACAGAACTTATTTTAAATTCCTGTGGTGGAACCATTCCCGACAGAGCTCGTTGTCTGTCTGACATGTCCGAGGAGGATATGGCTGCAGTACTTCATGATCAGGGTGTGACAGCAGTCAAAAGTTTCACGTTCAAAAAGAAGGTAATGTTTGCTCGTGCCTCATTGCCGCAGTCTATTAAAGCAGGATATTTTAATATTGGAGTGGACGTGTATGTCCCCAGTCCACTCCGGTGTTATAAATGCCCAAAATTTGGTCATGGGTCTAACTCTTGTCGTGGCTCTGTGATTTGTCATCGACGTGGCGAGACCCACAACAACACCGACTGTGACAAGAGTTTTAAATGTACTACCTGCCACATGGTGCCTCATCTAAATCATGCCCTGTGTGGCAAAAGGAGTCAACAATAATGAGGCTAAAATGTTAGAAAACATCTCTAACCTTGAGTCCAACAAGAAGACAAAGTCATCAATATCCCCCACAATGGCAAAATACTCTTCATGAATATGTCTATGAGTTATGAATATGTCAAATGTCTTGGCGTGTATACAGCTAAGTGGAATGAGAGTACTGAAAGGTTTCAAAGTTCTGCTGCAGAAGGAGCACTACCATCAAATTCAGTTGAAGCCAAAATTGTTGCCATGGAAACGAAATTCAACATGCCTCAAAAAAAGAAATGTCGCTAGACCAAGTCCAAGAAATATGTACACTTCGAGGTGTGCTGTCAGCAGCCGAGATCAAAAAGCATTTCGGTATTGATCGAAAAAGACTACGACATATGGCGACATATGGCGAGATCCCATCAAAGAAACCACAACCATGCCGCCGTCACCACCAGTTGAGGAAGAAATACCAGAAATATCTTTGCCGGTCGTCGAACCATTGCCTCAAAAGCTGACTCGAGATAGATCAAAAACAGCAATACCCGGTAGTACGTTGCAAACCATCCAGGACTTCTACAACCGCCTGGTGAAGATCAAGACTCATGTGAGGTAAACTACGAATATGTTGGTCGACATCTTGTCTAGGCTGGACATCCACAATGACGACGACGATGAAGAACTCCAGGAGGAAAGCCTCAAGGAGGAACAAGAAGAGACCCATTTCGAGATCCAGAAGGTGGGGCAGATGGTGGAATTGACCCAAAGATGGGTCAATTTCTGTAGTTGCCGTTTTTCTCTAGAAGACCACAAGACCTGGAAGCACAGTACACCAGTCCACGAGAAGAGGGAAACACCCAAACCAGTTTCCATGGTCCACCCCTTCCACATGCAGTAGAAAAAAATATATCTAATGCACATCTGTTTTGAAGAGCATCGTGTGTGTGTTCTCGATAGAAGCTATTCCCGCTCGGTCTCTGGGAGCAGCAACTCGACTTCTCGATTGTCTTTCCTGTTCGATATGGGCGAGTGGCAGATTTTGCCAAGCCTGCACCGAAACAGTCCACCCACCAACCGTATTCTATTCTGCCTGCGTCCCAAATCGTTTCTTGTATCTTGTAGCAGTAGACCGGAATCGTTTCTCCATTTGGGGAATCCCGTAGCAGCAACAGTCGTTTCTTCCTTTCATATTTCACTACAGAGAACTTTTGCAGATGAAGTTCCCTTCTGGAATTTCTGCGGCTTTCCGGTGTTCGTTGCACAGAGGGGCTGCCACTTCCACATCCTTGGACCCGTCGTAGTTGGGCAAGGGGGTTGCATGCCGTCCCTGTCCTCGTGGTGGCTCTGCTTGTCCCGATAGCTGTCGGAAGATACAAGACTCTTTCTCGATGCATATACAATTGGCTGACGACTCGTCGACGAGTTGTTGTTAGCGCAGGCACAAGGAGAGGCAGTCATCGTCGTACAGGTTCTCTATGTTCAAGAGACGGTAGGAGATCGGGATTTCTTTCCAAACCTTGAGTGGGAGTCGATCCTCCTGGGGTGTGTCTTCTATTGCTTTGTTTTTCCACAGAACGCATTTCTTGATGTCGACGCAGTGGTCGATGGCACTGCACTTGCACATAGAGTTGTCTCGCTCGAAGAGAGTGGGGAGTTCCGATATGGCAGCCATGCAGTTGGTGCATTGGTAGTGTCTTCTGTCCTTGGGTTCTGGGCAGCTGGCAAGAACGATGCGAAGTTTGCCCGATGCTGGTCGAAATTGGTTGGGTGGGTAGAGGTAGACGAAAATCCACTGTTTTGAAATCTTCTATGAATTGGCAAAAGCACAGCAAATACAGTTCCAGAAACTGCCGAGGGATCTGGTATCGCTTGTAGAAGGTGTGTCCCGATTTCTCCAGGATTTGTTTCTCACAGTCGGAAAGCAACACGTGGGAACACTTCTCCAGCAGTCTCTCGAAGACCATGACGGAAGTTGTTGTCGTCTGTGGCTCCATACCACCTCGGATTCGAGTGTATCGGGGTTGCGATATGTGGTACTTCCTCTTCGCTTCCCGAAGGGACAAACAACCCGATTGGATCTTGGCATAGGTTTCGCGCTATAGCTTGGTTTCATGCATTGTTGTGTGTTCTATACCTATGTACCTGTGTATCTCTAATTCGATTGCACCTTCGCCAGTGTAGAAACAACACGAGAGTGGTCCAAAACCCCATCAACATACTGTTGATGTTTTTCTGCGCTGGATTTTTGTTTACCGTCTAGCTGTCTTGGGGTTGGAAGGACTACTGGGATCGCGAAGAAAAAATCCAATGCAAACAATAAATGTCTATATATACTCAAATGCAGACTGCACCTCCTGATTTTGTGCTTTTCCTTCTTATTTTATCATTATTTTACTTTGCGATCCAGAACCCCCATTCCCTATACTACTCAATGGCCGATCTTGCTGCCAAGCCAGCACTCAAGAAATCTGTGACACCATTTCTTATTCCATACTCTGATTACAAAGCTAACATTTGAACTTACATCTGGGATCTGATGCAGAAGAAGTGGACACCCAAGTAGGCATCAATGAATTACATGCAATAAAACCTAATAGTGGTTACACCGACTTGGGTTGTCAGTCCAGATTTGAAGAGGTCAGCATCCGACGATGTCGTATTGGCCACACAAGATATACTCATGAGTACCTATTAAAAGGTGAGGATCCTCCGTTTTGTATCCCTTGTGATGAACGAATGACGGTCAAATATGTCCTGCTTGACTGTATTGAACAGTCCATCACCAAGGATAACGATTTAAATCACGAACTATGAAGGATCTTTTTAATGATATCAGTTGTCATTTAGTTCTCGCATTATTAAAAGAAATAGATCTGTTGAATGATTTGTAAATAGATAAAAAAATTTGATTGGAAGTTTAAATTAGTAACTGAGATTGTTAGTGGCTGTATCCTTCAAGGGGGTAAAATTACTGTAAAATTATTGTCCTCTTGAGAGGGTATTTAAGTCCTCAAACATTCAAAGTAAATAAGAAGTCTCCACATTTTTAATCGTAGAATATGTGTATTTTAATATATCGCTAGAACGGCTGAAGGGATGGTGTAAAACCAGCTCCAGGGCCCATGAAGGAAGCAAATGTACTGTAAGTCCCCATTGTCCCTATTATGGTGATCTACTTTTAGTTGCTGGCAATCTATAGCCCATTTGTATGTTGTCCTAAATATACTGAGTCAAAAAAGAAACTTCACAAAATGTAATTTGAAAAATAATGAATAATTATTCTCTGATGATACATCTATGTATCCAAAATGGGATCCCTATCTTTCGACTCTAGAAAAACGTTAGCAGAACCCACTCAAACCCATCCATTCGTCGTGCAAATGATGTTAGTGCCAAATCAGGTTTTGCACGTGCAGTGGATCACATGATCTTCGCATCGAAGTTTTCTTCATATGCACGTGTTTGCATTGGCCTCAAGAATTGAAAAAACACTTTTAAACGACAGTACTAACGGTACTTGAAATGCCACGATTGTCCAATGTGCAACGTGAACGTGCCGTTGGCATGTTGCAAGCGGGAAGATCAGTTATTGACGTCGCAAGAGCAATGGGATGCAGCCGTGGTACTGTGTATGACTTGCGAGGTCGTCTACAACAAACTGGCACCACTTCTGATCGCCCAAGGTCGGGTCGTCCACGTGTGACGTCACGAGCGTCAAATCGTCCTACATCACCTACGTGACAGATTTCTGCCGGCTATAAGAACCAGGGCTGAGATGTTTAGAGGTCGACTGTCCTCACAGACCATTCGAAATCGGTTGCGGGCTGCCAATCTCCATTCTCGACGTCCATATCGTGGGCCAATATTGACGTTTTATCGTCGTCAACGTCTGCTGTGGGCCCAACGTCACCTCCGATGGACCCACGGAGACTGGAATCGAGTCGTCTTTAGAGATGAATCCAGGTTTACCCTCAGATTCGCGGACGGCAGGCATAGAGTCTGGAGACGACGTAGTGAACGGTATGCCCAATATTATGTACAGGAAGTCGACAGATTCGGGGGCGTAAGTTGCATGGTGTGGGGTGCTTTCTGTGGGAACAACCGTTCCCGACTTCTGGTCATCCGTGGAAACAACACAGCTGCTGCTTACCGCGACCAGGTGCTCACCCCTGAACTCGTTCCTTTCATGGCGGCTCATGGCCCAGGTCTACAGTTCCAGCATAATAATGCTCGGCTGCATACCGCGATGTTGACACGAAATTTCTTTCAAAACGCTAGAATCAACGTCATGGACTGGCCATCGAGGTGCCCTGACCTTAATCCAATAGAGCACGTTTGGGATGCACTTTGGAGAAGGCTTCGTGGTCTTAGGAACCAACCTCAGAATTTGCAGGATCTTGGCGAATGCGCGGGGCGGCCATACACGATATTGAACTGAGAAATTTCGCATTTTATTCTTGTGACTTGACATTCTGTATACCCATGTTTTGGAACAGCGTTGTATCCTAATGGAACTGATTATGGCACTGTCAGTGTATCGAGTACATCACACAGATCTCAGCAATGAAATAATAACAATTTAAACATCTTACCATATCTTGTTCTTTTATAGTGCCCTGAAGAAAGAATGTAAAGTTTCTTTTTTGACTCAGTATTTTTATATTAGGGAGAATTATTCTGAACATTTATTGATCACATTTATCAGGAAAGTGTTTTTTCTTGCATTTACTATGAACTGGCCCATCATTGAGTAGAATTCATGCAATACATATGGAATTTTTAACAGCTACATGCTTTAACAAACAAAGCCATAAATAGAGACTTACCCTTCTCTAAACATCCACAAAATGAACTAGCACTGGGGTTAAAAGGCAACAGATTTATGTAAGTAGATAACTGACACAATCACTGGCACAAGATGTTAACAAAACCTATACGCATCTACTCCACTAGCATGATGACTCCAAGTGTTCATGAAAAAGAGACTTTAAAACTGAATATTCACTGTCAAAACATGAATTTCAAATGTTTAACGACCGCCTCCGTGGTGTAGTGGTTAGAGCGTCCGCCCGGAGAGCGGAAGGTCGCGGGTTCGATCCCCGACCACGTCATACCAAAAGACGTTAAAATATGGTACTTGTTGGTCTTGCCTGGCGCTCGGCATTAATGGGTACAACAAGAACTGGTCGGCACGGAGTCAGTATAATGTGTCTGAGTGGGGTATTCATGCTTCACTGCGGCATGATATCTCAGTGGGCTAGCACTATAAAACCAGCTTCAGTCTGGGCTAGTACAAGCAGCCGCACATACACATACACACGCATGCACGTCGTCATATGAGCGAAATATTCTCAAGCACGACGTATAACCCAATTTCACCTCACCTCACCTCACCAAATGTTTAACATTTTCAGTCAGATAATACATAAACAAAACTTAATAAAGCAAATATATCAACACCGGGGCGTAGAAATTGAGCTAAATGTAACAATAGTTCGTAAACCCAAACTGTGTGATTACATTATAATAAGGTAAAACCTGCTTAAGATTTATCCTGCACAGTATTTGCAAACGTGCAGGATTTCTGCTGAATTGTCTTAGAAACAATCACTTTTCTGCTCATTTGCTCTTTCATGCTTCCTTTCAGTCTGCAGTAAAGAACAACAATGTCCACTATCCTTGTGGCTGCTGCCTGTCTGTGTGCCCTCTGTCTGACACTGCAGGCGAGTGATGACAACTGTGATCGTCCTCCGGTGCATGAAGTTGTTCCTGGCAAAGAGCATGGGCACATCCGGTCCGTTGCTGCTCCTTCTATGTTCGACTGCGCGGCTGAATGCCAACTGTTGCCGCAGTGCCTATTCTTCACCTTTGACCCCGAGAAAGGCGCATGTCAGCTCCTGAGGAAAACAAATCCCAGCTTCACTGTCGGCAGTGGCATCTTCTTTAGCAACATTCAAGAATGGAAAATGGTTTGTATGAAGGCTTAATCCAATTTAACATAAGGCTGTTGTCTATGTTGCTGCACCCTGTGTCGACTACCAGTACCAACGCTATCCTTGGGATTTCGAAGTTTTTTGTGGTTTGTGTTCTGTGAGCGATACCCGTAATCGTAGTTTTATCAAAGTGGTTCCTGGATATTGGAAACCTCTATAAAACACTTTTCAAAATCACTCACATCTGGAGAGGTAAAAAGACATATTTGTTTGTGTAAACGAAATATGTAA